GCTTTCGAGTACCGCCGGATATGAGGGGGAGATGTAGAGCCACATTGAGCTGAGATCTACAGCTTTTGAGAGGAAGAGTGAAACGTGCAGTGAGAATGACCGGGTGCAACTCAGTAGCCGGTCAGTTTCATTCACCGTGCGCACGAGACATCCGTCGATGATCGCGGTGTTTTGAGGCAACTTGGAGACAGCTCTCCTCTAGATATACAAAACTAACCTACGACGGGGTATCCTGGTATACAAAGGAGAATAATACAATAGACAGTATGAGAGGGAAAAATGAAACAGAACGATCAATCATACGGTTCAAGTCTTCTACTTCGAGTTGGGAAGAGATTCTGCGGTCTGCAACGTCCATGACTCAATCTCGTCCATAGGCACTTCATTCCACTTCGCAGTGACCTGTAAGATTCAGCGAATGAGGGCGAGGACAAGAAGATGGCGAGTCAGTACAGCATACCTCCTCAAGCACGTCTAGCAATGCAGTAGCTTCGGCGTCAGCATCTTCTCGTGCCTTCACATGAGCTTGGATCTCAGCTTGTAGTCTGAGATTTGACTGGTCGAGCTGTTTATGAATTCGTAAGGTAACCGTCACAACTCCAAAGGAGAGTCAAATATAAAGAAGCCAAGTTTCAAAGCGAGATACGAAAGAGCGCGGGAAGCGTAAGTAATCGCACAAGAGAACACACTCACTTCCGCTAACATCGCCTGCAACCTATCCTTCTCCTTCTCCAGTAACGGTATCGTCCTCGCCCTGGCAGCAGCTCGAGGCTGCAAGTTCTCTCTCCAGAGATCCTGCCCCTCGTACGCGTCTCCTGCTCGTTTGCGTTTCTTGGCTTCGGTAACAACAGCGTGCAATTTGTCGAGGTTGTCTTTCACGCTGAATTGGGCGAGAAGTTCGTCAACGCGATTCTATGTGCACGGAGAAAAAGATTATAGAACGGGTAATTAGAGAACTGAATACTGCATCTGAGAGAGGAAACATACATACAGTGATACCAGACTCCATGTGCTGTGCGACCGTGTTGAAGACCGTGGATGATGAGGCTGGTTCCTCTTCACACCACAGCGAAAAGCACTCTTGGAAGTCTTCATATCTACATCACGCAGAATCACAGAGATGAGGTCAGGAACAAAAGAAATCGGAGAAGAGCACGTACGTCCATTTGTGAGTAGAACGTTGAATAGCGGCCTGTAAAGCGGCGTAGAACGACGTCCAGCGTTTGCTGCCTGCTGTGATGGAGCTCATTAGTCGAATTACGCCAGAGGAGCTATCGTCAAGACGATGGTGGGGAGTTGAGAAAGGAGTAGTGGTTGGTCGCTACCAAAGCACCGGAAGAGCAGGAGTCGGGACTGGCAAGAGTTAAGACGCGTCGTGCACGCGTCGCGTTCGTCACGTGCACTTGATCTTGCCATTCTCGCTTGCAAGTTGCAACTCGGGCTTTCGGCTTTCAGCACTGACGTTCTGCATCTGCATACAAGACTTCGCCCATTCTTGGGCTCTTCCCTCTCTACGTTGTGAAAGGTCTCAAACCTCTTGTACTCAAGCTCACTTTCTCGCCGTCCAACTCACACAATCCAATTGAAGAGGCACTCGACCATTCGTCAAGGGCTGGGTAAGTACTGATTCTCAATGTGCGCTGCGCTCTCTCAAGTTTTACCCCAGTACATAGCACGCCAGAATGCATCGCATCTTTTATATTTCGGAGCTTGTGAACCTCATTGTGCAACATGTTGCTGCCCGGGAGACATGTCACGATCGCAATTCCCCAGGCTACGGTCACCGCGCAGTCAAACGGCCGTCCGTTCGCACGTTGAGAACACTAGGACAGGTTGCGAGGGTGTTCAGGGAGCCATGTTTGGATGCGAAGTGGTATCATCACTCAGGCATCTCAGAGCTGTTGTGGATGGTGGATGCGATAGAAGTTGTGCCGAAAGATGATCATGATGGATTTTTCAAGGACCATGTACGCCGTTATTACCCCTGGAGCCTTCTGTTCAAGCGTTCATTGATATTGCTTGTTCTTCTGTAGTATGTAACGCGACAGCTGACGATACAAGACATTCCGAAGATTCAGTTCTACTCAAAACGGATCCACCAAATGAATGTCTCGTCATTCAACAGCCTCAGAGACGATCGACGAGGGGGAAGACCACGAGAACCAACGGAGACTTTGCTTAATTATGGCCCGCCCACGCTGCTCTTTCCCCGAGTGCATTTCATATCCTACCATGCCGCACTCTTTGCCGAGGTGAACTTCGTCTTGAATAACACTGGCGACACCCTCACGGAAATGATCGGCAATACCTTGGGGGCGTTACCGCCGAAGTTCCTTATGATGGCAGAACGGCGACGCTCCGATCTCACACTGCTCATGGCTAGTGCAGCGGATCAAGAAAGTGGGGAGTTCTCACTCGGACAGTCGTTGAACGTTATTCTGCCAGATGCCAGACGTTTAGTCGAGCTGCGCGTCGATGATGATGTCAGTCACCATCTCAATCTGTGGGATGCGGTTGCGCCTATCCCCACCCTACGCAAGCTCAGCATCAAGTCACATACAAACGCCAACCTTTTGACTTTTGGTCCTTCCTGCTCAGTGACGTACAACAACATCACCGACCTACACCTCCAGTGCAGATCCCCTCAAGCAGTTTGCGCACACCTTCAAAACGTCGTCTTTGCTACGCTGACCACGTTACACGTTCATCTATTGTCCGACATGAACGCCGGCATCAGCAACACCGAGGCCCCCGTTCTCCTCTCTGCCGTGTCTCGCGCATGTGCAGATTCGCCATTGATGTCGCTGAAGATCTATGGCTTCGAAAGTCCGATAGACGACACTCCACCGCGACTCGAGATTCTTGGCGTCGAGCATCTCCGGCCGTTCATGAAGTACAAACTCAGGAGTCTGGATTTAAGTATGCGGTGGTCCTGGACGCTAGAGGGCACACACCTAGAGGAGCTCGCCACCGCATGGGGGAACGACATTGAAACCCTCAAACTCGATCCGGATGGTTTTTGGCCCGACTTCACTAATCCCGCGGCCTCAGTGATCACTCTGCAAATGCTGGAACAATTTGCCTATTCGTGCCCTGGACTTCGCATACTTGGTATTCCATTCGACCCACACCTCTCCAATTTCGTCTGGAGCGACGACTTTTGCGTCGATCTGCCCGGACACAGTCATCTGGAGATGCTCTGGGTGGGCGAAGCTCCGTTGATTGCAGACGCGGCGCCAGAGATGGCGATGTACCTTTCGAGCGTATTTCAGAAGCTGGAGACTGTGAAGGCGTCGATGAAGGGGTTGGCGAGGGGACAAGGGGGGACGTATTTTGAGCAGTGGCAGATGGTATCAAAGATGTTGCCGGCGTTGCATAAAGCGAGGCGGCAGGAACAGGTGGCTTCTTTCGCTCATGAACACGGACAGTCGTGGTAGGAGATGGCTCGAACTGCAGAGCTTGACCCTATCTCTCTGGCCGTCCCTCTCCGGACCGCAAAGCAATTGGCGCATTCGTGTGGATTGGTGGTATGCTTCTGGTGGACGAGGGGCAGGTCAGAGCAGGACTGAAAATGTCCAGTGGAGGAGCCGGCAGCCACATGGCTCATACAGCGTGCGCAGACGTCGTGAATCGTCTCAAAACATATAGAGCGGATGATTTCAATTCAAAGCAAGAATATATACATAATAAAGCACTGGCAAATTCGAATGGTTTGGTTGCTCCCTTCCCTTCCTCTGTCCTTCCCACAATCCACCACAAGCACAACCTCCCTCCGACGCTCTCGCTCAGGGGATGACCTACCGTTTGCCCAGTGGAGACAGGCGTTGGTTGAACTCCGGAGACCCACCTTGCCCGTTTTCCCGTTCCCGTACCCTCTGGATATCGTCTCAATGCTATTTCCTCAGTTACATGTTCAATCCTGAAATAGAAATGTGTGTCAGCCGCGCTCGCAAGAGGAGGTGCAGGTGGTGCATACCTGAGTAGACGGCAGACGACAGAGTGAGTTGATTGCACGACGACCTGACCAAGATGCGCGGTCAGCTCACGTTGAAGTTGGAGTGAAACATCGACGGTGCTCACCGTGCAGTGTAGTGTCCCCATTCGAACCACCTCGGCATAAGTCGTGACTGGAGTAGTGCAGAAGACGAGAGCGAGGGGAGGAGAGAGAGGGGAGGAGGAGAGGGGATGGTGGTGGTTGAAAGCCAGAGAACGTGAGGAAGGCCGAGGCTGGCGAAAAGAGAGAGGGAAACCCTCGTCCTTTTATACCAGAGAGTCTGAGAAGCTACCAGCCTCAACCATCACGTGAACTTTTTGCGTCGATCATTCAGCAAACAATCGGAGGAACAACGTGACCGCGTTGGAGAGGTCGCGGAGGGCGAGGGCGAGGGAGGAGGTGGTCCAGGCAGTCCCTCACGTACATTGCCAGCCGCTGGACGAGTGGATCTGGGAAAATCCATTTTCGGTTGATCATGTTCTGTGATGTTTCGAGGAGCAGTTGAATGTGCTCGAAGTGAAAGAGATTTGCTCTTGAGACGACTGAACCACTGGTTGGGGGGAAATGTACCGAGTTCGCTTCAAGGGGAGCCTGAGGAGGCCGGCGCGATCGAGGAGCAGCAAGGAAGCTGACGACGACAGGTCGGTGCTTGTTGATTCGCCTCAGAACAGCTCGCGTTCTGACATTATAAGAAGAATCTTTGCCATTGTTGCGATGGAATATAGTAGCATAACGGCGTACCATGCGGAGGGTGTCCGAGTGCGCTATGGAGTCCTGCACCACCCTCTCCCAACGATAGAGGTGCTGAAAGAGGACATGTAGTCGGTCGCAGACATATATCAGCAGAGAAGATAAAGAGAAGAAGTGGCATAAAGGAGGACAACACACGGTGAGAGTCAGACGAACGACAATCGTCCATTCCCAATCGCAATATCGCAGCTGCCCTTGAGCGAGCCAAAAGCACCACGATCAAGCTCACCACAACAAATATTCCCCGCGGTCCCAATCGAGTATGGTGTAACGGCTAACATTACCGCCTTTCATGGAACGTGACAACCGCGATTCGCGGTAGCTCGGGGTTCGATTCCCCGTACTCGAGTGAAGTCGCGCCGAGCCTCTTTTTGTTGCTCCCTCCCTGTTTGCAAGGGTTCGATGGCTTGGACGGTGGTACTTAGGCGTACGCTCTGAAATGAAATGTGTTGTACCTACTAGACGTACAACGTTGTGGTTTTGCTTGGCAGAATTTTGGGAGCTGCGGTTGCGGCTGGACTGACGACGTGACAGGTCTTTCACGTGAGCGTGACGCGACGCGTCGAGTGTCGCCGAGCTGTCCCGATGAGGTAGCGCTGGTTATTTGTTTTTCTCGACATACGCATCCACTCCGTTTGAAAGAAAACACAAACGTCTTCCCGATGTTTAAGCTCTATCCTCTCTGTCGATTTGTTTTCGACGGTCTCGACGCAACCTGCATTGTAGCATGGTACTGCGCTCACAACAAGGACGGTTGCGCAGTGGTGGGAGTCAGGAGTCGTCAATGAAATGGTACGCAGTGCTGCTCGATTGTCTTTCTCAGATCTTCGAACTCATGTCGGGAACGTCTCGCCGCACAGACTTGCTGTTATATGCCGAGTGCATGCGCCCCTACAGGGACCTTGCGAGTTCTCAAGCTTTCGGTGGTCGCTAAGCGTCTGTCGGCGACTTTGTACTTCCTAGCACGCAGCTGGTCTCCCTCCGCCGTGGTCTACAACAATCCACGGCGTTGCTCATCATGCAAGACGAAATACACTGGGAACGGTGTATTCTGGTCGGATGATAGACCCGTCCCGAGGACATTGTGCGGATTGGTATTGCGGTACGTCTGTGACGTCTGCTTCCTCTGAGACGCACACCGCTGATGAAATCGATGATGCAGTCGATTTTCGGTGGCAGCATTGCCATGCTCGAGACGCATTTGGTCATTGGTGAGCTCTTATACGCCGATGGTGTCAAGGGAACGCGATCTCATTTTCAAACACACATAGCCTGCGTAACATCCGAGACATTCTGCATGTCGGCGCCGACCCACGACCACTGAATCGGTCGGCTGTGCACACAGGGTTCTGCGAGCTGTGGGTTGCCAAATGGCGAGAACGACATACGACTTTTGGGGGAGCCGCCTACGAAAGCATCGGAGACACGCTGCAGGTGCGAAGAGATGCTGTTATGATTCGCGGGGGGTGCTGAATGAAATTTCGCAGAAAGCAAGACGTAAAAGGGACGTGGATGTGCAGAAGGAGGAATGGGGACGTGATGGGACGGAGGGATGCACATGATTGATGGGGAGCGTGGCAGGGGGAGAGGAGAGTTGGAGGACACCGATCGAGGAGCGGCGTCGACGTGTGTGTGGGCGTGGGTGGCGACGCGGCGATCGAGGGCTGGGCCGTGGACGGAGCCGGCGGCAGACAGCGCCGTCTCCGAGGGTGAGGGCAGCGCGAGGGACGGGGAGCGGGAGGAGCAGCGGGCGACAGGGAGTGCGCGAGGAGGGAAGAGCGCGTCCGGAAAAGGACTGATGATTTCCTTATGGGGGAGGGGAGTGACGTTGTGGCGTTGAATTGAGGCATGGTGGAAGGTGACAGGCGGCCTGGAGGACTCGCTGGCAATCGCCGGGGACGCGGGACGGCGAAGAGGGCAGGCGGGGGCCCGGGGACAGGGACGGGGCTCGTCGCGCAGAGTTGTTCTCATGTCGCGTCCCCCGCCCACCTCTATAAGAGAAACGCGCCCGGGCGACGTCCTGTCCGCTTTCTTCTTCCCTGCCCTCATCTCGTCTCCCCATCTTGCATCCTCCTACCACCCAGCCTCCTCTAATCTGCGCCATACATCCTCCCTCCTCACTGTGAGCCTTCGCTTGCACCTACCTTCATACCTATATCCTGCGGCACACCCCACCTCTCCCGCCTGTACGCGACCCGTCGCGTTCCAGCTCCAGAACCCACCTATTCTCCTTTTTTGCATTCAAGTCCTCGCATCGCATTTAATCAGCTCTACTCCGTCGCCACTCTCTAGCAAAATCGGTCGCGTTCAGTAATCCTACCTCTTCTATCATGGCCGCACAACAGTCTTCCATCACAAATCTTGGTTCCCAGAAACAACGCACTTCCTCTTTCGGTGCCAGTCACACCCCGCCCTTGTCCTTCACGCCCTCTCTTTCTGCCTCGGCTCTGCATACCCCCGTCTCTCCAGCTACGCTCTCCCAATCTCCTCGCGTTCAGACCCCTCTTGCAAACCAGCTTTCGTCTTCCTCTCTTTCTCCGCAAAATTTCATGACTTCTCCTCGCGAATCTTCCCTTCACCAGACTTCTATCGCCCGTGGCCAGAATCAGCTCTCCCTCGCAATGTCGTCCTCTCGCTTGTCTTCCCTCTCTCAAAATGCCATCTCTTCCTTCGGCTCCTCCGCGTCCCTCCCTTCCCTGGACTCTTCATCTTCTATCTCCACTACCTCTCCTGCCTTGTCGACCCCGTCGACTTTGTCCCCCGCGGCTCCTCAATTTGACGCGAAGCCGAGGCTCCTCGATGCGCCCATCAACATCCATGCGCTCTCGTTGTCAAACGCTACTACGGAGTTCGAGGGGAGGACTCGGACGGCGAGCGGAGGGATTTCGGGCTCGCAGGTCCTTAGCATGACGGCGGCTCTGATGAACGAAGGTCCTAGTGAGCGAAATCCTTTACTTCACGATCGATACACGCTGACGCTCTTTTCTGCCTTTCTGGTAGCTCCAACTCAAGAATCATTCAGACCTCTCCATCTGCCGGTGTCGTCTCAGCTTTCAAGCGTAGCTGTCTCTGCGGTCTCTCCCTTTGCGCCTCCGAATCCGACCACCCACATCATAGAGATTGACGATTCGCCCATTCCTCCCTCGGAGCCCTCTCCTGCCCTCCCTTCGAGCATCGCATCGCCCTCCTCTGCGTCCGGCCTTGACCATCCCGCTCTGGCTGGCTACCAAGCTGAGGGGCTTCATTCATTCATCTCACACGACGGCTGTGAATCGCAGCCGAGCCAATCGCCGACAGATGAGTTCAAGACGCCCAATGTGTACATAAACGGCCTTCCTCCCAATTTCCCCGAGGAGCAGCTGCTCGCTATGACGCAAGAGTTTGGAGACGTTGTCAGCGTGCGGACGTTCACCAGACACGTCAGCGACCGACCCTCGTGAGTCCATTTTTTGTTGATATCTGTATTTCCATACTGATAGACGATTTGTCTACAGCGGCTATGGATTCGTTCTGTGAGTTCGACTTCCATCCAAGTATGCGCATATAGCTGACTTCTGGGTCCTGCAGCTTCGCCGATGTCAATGGAGCGGAAAAGTGCATCGACGCGTTGCGAAAGTATCGCAATCTGCATCCGAGTTATTCTAAGGTGCGCTCGGCTCAGATGTATTGTCGCGTGCACATCGGCTCATTTCGTTCTCTAAGCGCGTTCACAAGATCCCTGGGACGACATACGCCGCTGCGCATGTTGACCAAGCTCCTGCACCGCCGGTATCGAGCGGAACCGAAAAGGACACTTTCAAGGCACGCATGGAGCGTCTTCACGACACGGCATCTACGAACTTGTACATGGAAGGTCTACCTATGGACATCAACGAGCCCACTTTGTCCGCGCTCGTCAGCCCGTACAAGATCATGAGCTCCAGGTTTTTCCAGACGCGCCTCAGCGTACCCGCTCGCGTCATCGCATTCGTTAGGTCAGTTCTCGTATTTGAGCCAATGTACGCTTCGGCTGAATCTCTTTCCCTCCAGGCTGGAGTCCCGCACCGCCGCAGAGGAGATCATAGAAAGGCTGCATGGGCGAATGGTTCGTGGATGGGCCGACACCGGTTGCAGGATATCCGTTCGTTTCGCCGATACAAGCGAACAGCGGGAACTCAGGGTATGTCGTGACCCTCCGACGTGTTGCTTCTTTCAACTTCTAACAACTATTTCTCATCTCAGCGTACGGAGCGGGTGAACCGGGATGGAGAACAGTCCCCTTCCCGACTCACGGTCGCTCAAGCGGCCTTATTGAATCTGAAAGGCGGTCAGTTGCAGACGCCTGGCATGGCCTCGTCGGGTTCTTCGTCGGCTGGCCTGTCTCCGCCATTTGGGATGACGAATCTGCCAGCCATTCGTGGCCACTCACCTTCTTTCCAACCTGTCGGCGTACGCGGTCCTGGCCTCATCTCACCGTCTGAAAGCTTCCCAGCTCCCTCGCTGTACGATCCCATGGTCAGACACGGAGGCGTCCCCCTCAACCACGGCGACGCGTTCGCTGCCCAACAAATGGCCAACCGAAGGACGACTCCGTCACCCTTACCGCTTCAGCAGCACGTTGATCCGCGACAAAGGATTCAGCAATTCGTCCACAATCAGCAGCAATTGCCTGTCATCGGCCTCGGCAATGTTCACACCGACCTGGCAGCCTACGGGGCGCATGGTCAAGGCCTCAACGTTCGTACCGCCATGTCGCAAGCTGCTTCGCCGGCCAGTTCCTACGGCGACGCGGTGTCCTATACCAGCCCTGTGGTCGGCGGCGGGTTCGATCTGGCCTCTGCTCGGGCTCAGAACGGGTATACCGCCTTGGAGCGGGAGATTCTTCAGAAACATCTTCAGCAGCAGCAGCTTCAGCAGCAGATTCGCCGCGAGGATGTGCGCGCCGCCGCCGGTGGCATGACGACGAGCAAGTCTGGCAATTCCTTACTTGGCCGAAGACTTGTCGACACCCTGCCGTCGTTGTCGGAAGAAGACTTCCATGCAGGCCGGTACTGAGTGTGGGCCGGGTTCTTCGCGCTCCGGCAGCTCCGCTCCTGCTTCTGGTGTTACCGTGAACCTCGCCCCGATCGCTCAGCCGCAGCAGTCTTCTCTTCCTCCGTCGCGACTTGCCATGGACGACGTCAACGCCAAGCTCAAGTTCACGAGGCAACGCAACCAGACGCATAGTAGCGGAGCCCGGATGTTCTCTCACACCGACATCCCCGGAGGAGGAGAGATCAACGCGTCCGAAGAGAGGGCTAGGAGCACGACCATGCCGGAGGAGTACCAAGGTCGAAGGAGCCTCGGTGGCGGTGACTCGTATGCAGCATT